GACGATGTTCGCCCCAGGTGGGGGAACCTCGTCGACGTAGGTGCCTGTGGACTTCCAGGAAGCCATCTGTGCGTCCATGGCTGTCTGCCACTGAGAGGAGTAGGGACCCTCAACTGCCTCTGCGTAAGAGCGCGGAGTCGGGATGTCTAGTGCATCCGGGTCTCCCTCAGGGGCAAGCAACATGGACACGAGATGAGGTGAAGCAGCAGCAAAACACTGGAACTCCTCCTGCCTGTCCTCAAGGACGTCCGTGCCAAGGGCACACTCACCCCCGACGGACGGAGGACAGACAGACTCAGACTCAGCAACAAGACTAGCAGCGTAGTCTAGACGACAGCGAGCAGCAAAGTCGACAAGCTCAGCAACAAGAGCAAACGCAGCAGCAGACCCAAAGGAAGGGTCAGTGACAACTGTGGCAAGGAGACGCGTGACAGTAGGACTAGTAGTATGAAGGGATTCAGACTCCGGGTCAGCAAGGGCAAGAAGAGAGGACTCAGGAGGCGACGGCAGAGGGACACGCTGCAGAGCAGTGGAAGGACGCAGAGTCATCTGGTGCGTGCCAGGGACAGGGGGAGGACGCTGACGCGAACCACGACCACTAGTGCGAGCAGCACGGACAGGCGACGCAGGACGAGACGCAGGCTCACGACGCTCAGCAAGACCTCCGGTCGGACCAGTGTAAGGAGACGGAGAAGGCAGTGGAGAGGCAGGCTGTAGCTGTGACGACGACTGGACAAGCGGTGGACACGCTAAGGAGGGGGCACGACCAGGAGAAGACGGGAGACCAAGAACCTGCTCAAGGAGCGAAACGCAGTACGGCCGCGGCCGCTCAGCACCCCCAGAGCCAGCAGGAACAGCACCAGCACCCCCAGCTCCAGCTCCAACTACAGCAGCACCACCAGCAGCTCCAGCAGCTCCTCCAGCAGCTCCAGCACCAGCGGCAGCTCCAACTCCAGCAGCACCACCAGCAGCTCCAGCAGCTCCACGAGCACCTCCAACAGCTCCAGCACCAGCGGCAGCTCCAACTCCAGCAGCACCACCAGTAGCACCACCAGCACCCTCAGCAGCTCCAGCACCAGTAGCACCACCAGGCCCAGCAGCTCGAGTACCTCCAGTACGAGCACCTCCGGGACCAGTGGCTCAAGAACCCCCAGCAGCAGGACCTCCAATACCACCTGCTCTAGCAGAATGGCTCCAGCGCCGAGCAAACCACTTGCGCAGTTGCTGAGGGGAGAGCGGCTCCCGACGGCACGTAGCACCCGAAGGACCGCCAGGCAAAGTGCCTCTAGACTCCACACGCGCAGGCTCAGCACCCTCAGGCTCCGCACCCCCAGACTCAGCAACCCCAGGCACAGCGACCCCAGGCTCAGCACTCCCAGGCTCAGCAACCCCAGCCTCAGCACCCCGAGACTCAGCACCCCCAGACTCCTCACGCCCAGGTTCAGCACCTCCAGGCTCCGCACCCCTAGGTTCCGCACCCCCAGGCTCTGCACCACCAGGCTTAGCACCCCCAGGCTCCGCACCCCCAGGCTCAGCACCCCCAGAAGCAGCACCCCGAGTAGGACCACCCCCAGCAGGACCTGAGTCACCAGTGACCTCAACCGGCGCAGTTAAGGGAGGAGGGTCTACCTGAGACACACCTTTAGGAGCAGGACCGGGAGCGGGGAGGGGGTCTACCTGGGGAGGACCTGGAGCGAGGAAGAGCGGCGGGGAGGGAGGAGGGGCAGTGCGGTAGGGGAAGAGACGGTAAAAGGGAACCGACTCGTCGAACGTGACGTCCTGAGGGGTGAAGACACGGCGCGAGGTGGGGTGGTAAAACTGCCAACCAAGCGCGTCAGGGACAAAGCCAAGGAAGACACAGGGAACAGCGCGGGCGGAGAGCTTGTCCGCGGTGGTATCGCGGACAAAGGCACGAGAACCCCAGACCCGGAACACCAACGCATCGCCAACCTCCCCCGTCCACCGCAGTGTGGGTGAGGTCTCCGGCAAGGAGACACAGTGCCAGAGGTTGAGCTGATGCGCGGCGTAGCGGACCGCAAACGGCCACAGAAAATGGGGGGCAGCCGCATGGACCATGGAGGTACGAGCGACCTCCATGACCAAGCCAATGCGGCGCTCAGCAACCCCATTCTGCTGCGGAGAGGCCGGAAGCGTGAACGTCTGGCGAATGCCCTCCCCACGAAAAAATCTCTGCAGAAGGTCGGAGGAAAACTCCCCACCTCTGTCAGAGTGCAGACGCAGGACGGGAAACTCCGTCCCGAACCGCTCGCGGAGCTGGAGACGGGCAGCGCGGATCCAAGGGATCAAAACATCAGGGACCTCACCCTTGGTGCGCAAGGGGAAGACCGTGGTGTAACGCGAGTAGTCGTCAACAACCAGCAGGAAGTACCGCTCGCGGTCCTGCCCACTGACGCGGGCTGGGCCCCACACGTCCATGTGCAGGGTCTGCAGGGGAGCATTCGTCGGGGGAAACGAGGAGGAGTGAGGAGCGGTGCGCTGCCGCCCCTCAACACAGGGAAGACAGGGAGGAGCAGGCGAGCGTGGGAGGGGAGGGAGAACCCTGGGATGACCAGAGACAAGGACACGGCGGTGCATGCTACGAAGGCGCTGCACCGAGGGGTGACCAAGACGGTGGTGCCAAAGGAGGGTCTGGTGCGACAAAGCGCAACACGAGCAGGGGGCCGCTAGCTGACCTGACGCAGAGGCAGACGCAACGACCTGAGGGGACACAGTAGTCAGTGTGTACAGACTCGAGCCAGGCGCACGGGTAAACGTGGCCAGGTGCCGGCCCGTCCGGGAGCATGTACGGGTCACGCGCTGACCTCCAGGAGTGAAGTGGTCAACCCACTAGTCCTGGAGGTCAGCACCACTCACCAAGTTTGTAGAGAACGAGGGGAGGTGAAGACTTGACAGGGAGCCAGACGGGACCGCCGGACACGGCAGTACCGTGGAGGAGTGCGCAAGGACTGGACCCCCAGAGGGGTCTGCCAGGGAGACAGGAACCTGTCAGACTTATATGCTATAGTCTGTGTAGGCTGTAGTGGGGTAGACAATATAGGGTACAACACTTTTAGGGTTTCCTACTTGTACCCACCTGTTTCCTAGTTCATTCATCCCTCGTTCTAATTCTCACATGGTATAGAGCAGGTTCCCTAGTGGGAACTTTTCCTAGGGCCCACCAAAATCGAATTTTTTTATTCTGCCCGGAGCGCGCGTCGCCTCAGCCCGAAGCGCGGCCCGTGCCGCCCTCCCGTCGCGTTCCCCTCCCCTTAGCGGCCCGTCGCGCCCTCTTAGCGGCCCCTCTCACGGCCCCTCGCGGCCCCTTAGCGGCCTCTTCACGGCCCCGTCGCCGCCCCTAGTGGCCCCGTAGCCGCCCGTTGCGGCCCCGTCGCTGCCCTACCCGGCCCTTAGCGGCCCCTCTCGGCCCCTCGCGGCCCCTCAGCGGTCCCGTCGCCGCCCTTTGAGGCCCCGTCGCCGCCCTTCGTGGCCCCGTAGCCGCCCCTCGCGGCCCCGTCGCCGCCCCTCGCAGCCTCGTAGCCGCTCGTTGCGGCCCCGTCGCCGCCCTTCGCCGCCCTTCGCGGCCCCGCTCGGCCCCTCGCGGCCCCTTAGCGGCCCCGTCGCCGCCCTTCGCGGCCCCGTAGCCGCCCGTTGCGGCCCCGTCGCCGCCCGTTGCGGCCCCGTCGCCGCCCTTCGCGGCCCCGTAGCCGCCCGCTGCGGCCCCGTAGCCGCCCGCTGCGGCCCCGTCGCCGCCCTTCCCGGCCCCGCCGCCGCCTTTTGTGGCCCCGCCGCCGCCCTTTGCGGCCCCGTCGCCGCCCTTCCCGGCCCCGCCGCCGCTGCCGCCGCTACCGGGGCCACCGCCACTGCTGCCGCTACCGGAGCCGCCGCAGCTGCCGCCGCTACCGGGACCGCCGCCACTGCTGCCGCTACTGGAGCCGCCGCAGCTGCCGCCGCTACCGGGACCGCCGCCGCTGCCGCCGACATAGACACTGCCGCGGCCCTGTCCCTACCAGCGCGTCTCGGCCCTGCCCCACCACCTGCGGGCCTCTACCCACCCGCCCTAGTAAGAGCACTCCCGAGCAGCGCCTCTACCACTGAACTGCCCTACCCGTACTGCTGTTACTGCTGCTCCTGCTGCTACTGCTCTTTCTACTGCTACTGCTGCTCCTGGCGTGGCCAGATGCAACTCCAGCGCCGTCCGCGTGAGTCCCTCACGCCCCAACAGCTTCGTGAGTGGTACACTAGTTGGGGTGGCTGCGCTGCTACTACTGCTACTGCTGCTACTGCGTCTACTACTGCTACTGCTGCTACTGCGGCTACTACTGCTACTGCTGCCACTGCTACTACTGCGGCTACTACTGCTACTGCTACTCCTGGCGGTGGCCAGCTGCAGCTCCAGCGACGTCCGCGTGAGTCCCTCCCGCCTCAGCAGCTTCGTGAGTGGTACGCTAGTTGGGGTTGTCGGGGTGGCCGTAGTAGGAGTCGTCCTGGAGTGAGTAGTTCAGGAGCTTCTTGCAGTGGCCAGGTGCAGCTGCAGCGTCGTCCGCGCGAGACCCTTTCGCCCCAGCAGCTTTGCGAGTGGTACGCTCAGAGTAGAGGGTCACTGAGTACTGCTCGCTGCCCGTACGTCGTTCGCACGGGTGTCCGGACTGGTCAGCCTTGCGGGACGCGTGGTCACACAGAGTCCCGCTGCTTCGCCCGTCTGAGCGACGCTTGGCGTACAGAGTTTGGCGACGACGCTGAGCTCCCCGAATGGGTGGAGCTGCTTAGGCAGAAGGTAGATATCTTTGCTCTTGACTATGATGCTATTCTCACTTCAATGTATGCATTGTCTACTAGTGCCGAGGGAGTCTGTCACCTGTGTGTGCCGCCTGACCCCGGTATCCAGTCTGCTGCTCTAGGTGCTGGTGAGGCTGCTGCTCTAGGTGCTAGTGAGTCTCCTGCTCCAGGTGCTGGTGAGTCTGCTCTCTCTAGTACTGCGCCTGTTGCGGTCTTGCACCCCTTCACCCTTGACTCGGGTGCTTCCCGCTCCTTCTTTCGAGACCGCACCACACCACACGCAGCACCCACTTAGATCCACGCACGGACCTGGAGAAGGAATACATGAGCTTCAGGACAGCGCCGCTGCAGCTGCTGCCGGGGAAGAACGCCAGCGTGGTGCACGGCGCGTCCCACCGGACGCTCACAGGCGTGCTCACGCCAGCGGGAGCCGTGCCGGCTGGCACGCCTGCACAGCGCGAGGAGGGGTCGAAGGCGACCTTGTAGGCGCCCACTGCCACGGCCGTCGCCACCACCACCCTGGCTGCCACCTCCGTGGGCCACCAGGGAGCGTCTCCCGCTGATGCCAGCGCGATGACGCCACGTGATGCGATGCAGGGAGGGCAGGGAGGGCGCGGGCAGAGCAGCAAGGGGAGGTGAGGGAGTCAAATGCGGTTAGTGAGAGAGCAGTGAGGCACGACCCAGTGAAACTGCTGTGGCGGAGAGAGCAGTGACAATGGTGCACGCTTACTGCAGCGCTCTTACCTTGGCTTGGCAAGTGCCATCGTACGCGCAGGTCACGCAACGACAGGGACTCTACTGACAGTGCACTTACTGGAGGAAGGGCGACGAGGAGCGTACCGATAAAGCAGAGAGCCGACAGTGGATACGGAGAGGAGAGGATGGTTCGGGTGGTGTAGGTGGTCGGGCTGTGGAGGGCAGGGGAGGCAGAGGAAGCACGCGAGAGAAGAAAGGCTAGTTGAGCCACCACGGAGGAGGGCTAGTTAATCACGCTGCCTCATTATAGCTTGAATCGCGTCCCGTTTTTCCACACCATTTCGGGCAACCACTTTTGGTTCACTGCCAACACGTTAGCCGAATCAGATTCGACCGCACTGTACCGCACGCCACCCCACCCACCGCACGCCGTGGCACAGGCGGCACGCTGACCTGGAGGGCTTGGCGAGGAAGGACGCGACGACCCCGGTGCAATCAGGGCCGGTCCAGAGGGTGATGTTCTCGCACGCGGGGAGCTTCGCGGTGGCGGCGGCGGCGGACGTCCACTGCACGGTGGCGTTGGGAAGAGTGCTCTGCAGGTTGGTGCAGCGCGCCGCCGTGAAGTTGAACGCGAAGGTGCTGCCCACCGTGATCGCCGTCGCCACCGCCGGCGGCGGCGTAGCAGACACGTCCGTGAGCATGTCTTGGCCGCACGCCGCGCGGATGACGTCACTCGCTGCAGGGGAGGGCGAGCAGGGACGAGAGGGGAAGAAGCAGGGAGGGGAGTTGGTTGGTGTGGTCTGCCCTGGTCGGCCAGGTTTCATTGTTTCCTCCAGTCGGATTCGGATTCAGCAGTAACGCGCGAACGCGAATGGCGCTGTCAAGCAAGTCGAGGGGCGCGGAGAGTGAAGGCGATGTCATGTGAAGGCGATGTCATGTGAAGGCGATGTCATGTGAAGGCGATGTCATGTGCACATCCGCTTGATTGACTTCATCGCACATTTACATTTGTTGCCTCGCTTGGGGGCGGTGGGCACAACGAGGCAAGGGACGGAAGTGACCGGAATGCGGTGCACACACAGCAGGCACTCGCGGGGCGGCACGGGTGCTGGACTGACCGAGAATGAGGGCGAACGCGAGCAGCGCGAGCAGCGCCGGAAAGCCGCTCATCGTGGCGAGCGGGGCGGAAAACCGATCGGCGCAGCGGAGAGGCGCGGCGGAGAGGCGCAGCGCACGTGACGGTAGCGATCGTGGATGGCAGTGATTGCCGAGATATGGGAGCAGAGTTCCCGCCGATGATGGTTGGGCAGAATGAGGCGCGGCGAGATAGTCTCGCAGAGAGAGCGACGGCGAGATGGCACAACAGGGGGTTATGGCACAGAAGCGGCACTTCACAAGGCTCCATGGCTGCTGTGGGCTGGCTACTTGAAGTGCGAGCTCGACGCTACCACGGCGCTGCGAGGCGAGGAGGGTCGTGGAACGCGGTACTGTGGCCAAGAACGAGGTCGCTAAGGGAGCGGGGAATGCGGTGCGAAGTCAAACGGATCGATAGGATGAAACGCGATCATTTTGTTGGAGGATGAGGGCGCGTCCGGCAGGTTTGAGTCACAAAATCAAGGGTCAAAACCGATTGACTCGTCGGATGACGAAGAGAGTGGCTAGTGCACTAGCGGTTTGATAAGCGGGTATTCCCTCGATGTAATCCTCAAGTGTGGGTCGTCTCCCTCCATCCCTGTTATAAAATTTCGCGCCAGCATCTATAGGTGGATACGCCCCTTCCCGTGAGGTTCGGGGCCGAGCAGAAACGCGTCAGACAGCCAAACGAAAACTCAATTAGGGATATCGAGAACCTCACTTCGGAACACGAGATGCATATGATGATATCATATGATATCATGTATCTTATTTGTCAAAGGATGTGGCTATGAAGTAAAACGGTTGTTGAATAATCATGGTAAGTACTCTAAGAAACTTTTTTTTCGTCAAATTTGTGATATTTTTAGTAGTCAATGCTAGAAGTAAATGGTTACGAACAATAAGATATGCTTCTGTCAAACGTTATACATTATCATGATAAGTTGTAGTGAGATGCACTTTAGAGGGTACAACTCATTCTAGAGTTGCTATTTGCATCGCCAACCTTGCTAGTCAATCCATTCCGCTGTGCATCACTCTTGAGATGGTATCACGAGTTGGTACGCTCCTAACCTAACTTAGCTCGCCCGTGCTCTAGTGCCTTGCCTAGCTCGCTCCCTTCTGTCGTCGCTCTGTCGTTACTCCGTAGTAGCACCCCGCCCCTGCTACATGCACGCCCAGTCCCTGCCACGCCAGCGCGTCGCCCCTGCTTAGCGTGCGCGACCCGCCCCTGCAAGACCAGCGCGTTGCCCCTGCTTAGCGTGCGTGACCCGCCCCTGCAAGACCAGTGCGCCGCCCCTGCTTAGCGCGCGCCCTAGCAGAGCAGCGAGCGCCACCCAGTAGAGAAGCGCGCGCCCCAGCAGAGCAGGGCGCGCCACGCAGCAGAGTAGCTCGCCCCCTGCAGAGCAGCGCGCGCCACCCTGCAGAGCAGCGCACAGCCCAACAGAGCGGCGCCACAGGCCTTCCAGCCGCCCACAGCAGCACTGCCCGAGTCGCGTGCCCCTCCCGAACTCGCCTAGGCCCTGAGCAGGCCCTTCCCGGGCTTTATCACCGCAAGTATTCGAGTCCTCTACCGCTCCTTCGCTCCGTGCTTCCCTCCGCTGTGGCTGGAGGCCGCTATTCCTAGTTTTAGTGTACCTTTGGCGTTCCATCCTTCTCCGCCCTCCTGTCAGGATTTAGGGTTCTTTCTCCTAGCTCTCCTTGCTCCAGCCGTGCCTTGCTCCAGCTGTGCCTTGCTCCAGTCATTCCTCGCTCCAGCCGTGCCTCGCTCCAGCCATGCCTTCTCCAGCCGTGCCTTGCTCCAGCCGTACCTTGCTCCAGCCGTGCCTTGCTCTAGTCGTGCCTTGCTCCAGCCGTGCCTCACTCCAGCCGTGCCTTGCTCCAGCCGTGCCGTGCTCCAGCCATACCTTGCTCCAGCCGTGCCTTACTTCAGTCGTGCCTTGCTCCAGCCGTGCCTAGCCCCAGCCGTGTCCTGACCCAGCCGTGCCTTGCTGCAGCCGTTTCTAGCTCCAGCCGTTCCTCGTTCGGCCACTCCTACGCCCAGCTAGTCTTTACCATGGCGTCCACTAGAGTTTTGCAGCAGCAGCAGCGACAGTTTCAATAGTGGTGCCCTCAGAAGTAGTGGGGACCTGGTGATTCGGGCAGCGTTGGTTGCAGCAGCGGCCCAGCCAGCTGGGGACCTGGTGACCGGCCCTCGTGTTGGCACTACTTGCTGGCGTCCTGACCGCTCTGCACTGCGCTGCTACAGTCATCTCGATGATCTTTACCGTGAGCGTTTTGGGCCAGACTCGAATCTGCCAATCTGGCCCGGTTTGTCTCGTAGTGATTACCGTGTCTTTGATATGTCTATGGATGCTGTTTATTCTGTCACTTATGGATCTCTTGACTTGCGTGTACCTAGCTAGGGACCTTTACCTATTGCTAGTGTAGGTGATTGTGTAGTTACTAGTGTGGCTGTGACGATTGCTGAAGCGTCTCTCTCCCTCACGCTTTACTCTAGAGCGTCCCAGTGCTTCTTCCGCGACCATACCACTGTCACTCCTCTTGCTGCTCTGTCTCAGTTGCTTTGGCTGATCCTACTTCAGGACCAGCAGTCGTTCACAGTTCTACCAACCTCGCATGCCCGGCTGTCCCGTCTGGTTCCCTCACTGGTCTCTACATCCCCTCTTTCTCTCGAAACTTGGTGGGTGGTTGGATACCTTCAGGACCGTGGGATCATTGTCACTTTTTTTGCGCACGGGAGGACCGCGATCTGTGCAGACGCTTTTACCGGAGCAGTTCTTGCCACGTTCACCAGGGTGCATCATTCAGGTCACTTCGTTTTGCACACTGCGTCCCACCAGGTGGCAGAGTCTAGTCAGGTTACTACGTCTTCGCAGGCAGCTGAGTCCAGCCTGGTTACTACGTCCCCACAGGTTGCTGTGTCCACTTAGGTCGCTGTGTCCGGTCAGGTTACTGTGTCTGATCTAGTTGCTGCAACCTGCTCTTGTCGGTCACTCTCCCACTCGACAGTCTTGTGGCACCACCGTCTTGGTCACCCGTCCCTCCCACGCCTCCGTAGCATGGCAAACCAGCGTCTAGTCTCCGGTCTCCCGCGGGTCTTTGAGTCGGTTCCCCGTTCGCCTGCGCCGCCGTGCACTCCTTGCGTGGAGGTCGGCTGAGCGCCACTCCTTACTCCATTCGTCCAGCCACCGCTCCCTTCCAGACCCTCCAATTGGACGTCTAGGGCCCAGCCCCTCCTGCTGGGCCCGAGCGGGAGCACTTCTTTCTACTGGTCGTTGACGAATACTCCAGGTATACCACTGTGTTTCCTCTCGCGAAGAAGTCCAAGGTGACTTCTACGCTGATTTGGTGGCTCTTGGCCACTGAGGACACTCGTGGTCGTCCCGTCAGTTGTGCCCACTCCGACTGTGGGGTTGAGTTCCGCTCCGACGTACTTGCCGGGTTCTGTGGCGAGCAGGGCATCACACGGTCCTAGACGCTTACGGAGTCCCACACCAGAATGGGGTTGCTGAGCGCCGCATTGACTTGGTCATGGAGATCGCCCGCACCTCCATGATCCATGCCCGTGCGCCCCATTTTTCGTGGCCCTACGCTGTTCGCTATGCAGCCCACCAGCTGAACCTCGAGCTGCGTGTCTCTCGGCCGGGGGCTTCACTGACCAGTCTTTGGACTGGGTCCCCTGGTGTTGGGTCGGCCTTTCGTGTCTGGGGCTGCAATGTGCTTGTCCGCGGCACCTCTGCGGACAAGCTCTCGGCTCGCGCCATCCCTTCTGTCTTCCTTGGTTTCCCGGTGGACTCCTCCGACTACACCTTTTACCAACCGCCCCTCCACCATTTCCTAGACTCCTGTGACGTCCGGTTTGACGAGTCAGTGTCCTACTACACCCGGTACCCCTGTCAAGGTCTCTCGGTCCCCCCTCCTCCTCTTTTCCTAGCACCCTCTCCTCCTCCTGCTCTTGCTCCTCCGGTACCCCCGCCCCCCCATGGTCCTGCCCCGTCATGTGTGTCTCACGCTACCCCTCTTGCCTCGGTCGCGCGTCAGGTAGCGTCTCCCTCCCCGCAGTCCTCCTCACAGTCCCGTCAGCATCCGCCGGCACGTCTGCGACAGGTTACTTTGGACTCAGGGGGGTGCTGAAGCTGGAGGTGCTGCCACTGGAGGTGCTTGGTCTGGGAGTGCTCCTTTGAGAGGTGCTGGAGATGGAGGTGCTGGCACTGGAGATGCTAGTTCGGGGGGTGCTGGGGCTGGAGGTGTTGGCACTAGTGGTGCTAGTTTTGGGGGTGCTGGAGCTGGAGGTGCTGGAGTGGTTGGAGCGGGAGAGGCGGGAGCTGGAGCAGTTGGACTCGCAGGAGCAGCAGGAGGAGGACGAGGAGGAGGAGGAGCAGCAGCAGCAGCAACAGCTTGTGCAGCAGCGGCAGGAGCAGCAGCAGCAGACGCAGCAGCCCCCACTTTTGCAGCAGATGTTCCCACCTATGAGTGGCCTTCGGGCCCTTGGACTTCCTTCCTCTCCTCCTGTCCTCTCACAGTCTCCTACCGCGTACGATCCTACGTTTCCTCCTCCGGACTCGACTCCGGCAGTTTTCTCTCCCCCTCGGTCACCGTCGCCTCCTCCTGTTTTCTTGCACGACTGGACCATTCGTTGTCCTCCACGTGCTCGTCCCTCGTCTCCTTACGACCTCCACACTGTCTT